AAAAAAAAAAAAAAAAAAAAAAAAATACACACGGAGACCTACAAACTGTACCCGATCTATCCTCTATAACACCACCAACAGACCCAACCACCACTCATTTTCCTTTTCTATGGAGAAACAACATATTCACCACCCCCCCGCACCAACCCCGAGGCATCAGCTCAACAACAATACACAGCCAGGGGGCCCCCTCCCCGCAGGGCCCCCACCAGGGCCCCCGCCAGGGCACCCATCAGGGCCCCCCCCTCCAGGGGACCCACCAGGGCCCACTCCAAGGGACCCACCAGGGCCCCTGGGCGCAGCAGCAGGTTCCTGCACAGGTACAGGGCCCCCACGGGGGCCCCCACCGGGGCCCCCACCGGGGCCCCCTGCGGCAGAGTCTGTGGCGGAGAGTCCTAGGGAATAGATTCCGCTCACAAAGCGCCTTCAGGGGCCCCCAGGGGGGCCCCCAACATCAGGGCCTCACCCGGCCGACACCAATGCGACCCACCCCTTTACAAACAGGACAGGGGGCCCCCATACAAAGCCCCCGCCAGGGGCCCCTTGGGGGCCCTCGATTCCCTCTGGGGGGCCCCCAGTTGCGAGACGTTCGACTGGGTGGAGTGGGGGCCTTGCAGAGCCAGTGGGGCCCCCTGCAGCAAAGTACCCTCCAGGGCCCCCTTTATGGCCCCCTCTATGGGTCCCGGCATGGGGGGCCCCTACAGGTGCCCCAGCAGGGGGGGCCCCTTCAGGGCTCCCCGCTTGGGGCCCCCCAGCAGCTGGGCGTTCGGCAGCAGGGCCCGCAACAGACGGGCAGCCAGCAGGGGGGCCCCCAGCAGGCCCAGCAGGGCACCATTCAGCGGGGCCCTCAGCAGGGCCCAAAGAGGGGCCCCCAACCGGGGGCCCCCCAGCAGGGCCCCCCGCGTCGGAGCATCCTTCAGGAGCTCCTTGAGGACGCCGATGAGGAGGGCCCCCTTCAGGGCCAGGAGGGGCGGGGCCCCCAACCGCGGGGCCCCCCGCAGGGCCCCCAACCGAGGGCCCCCCAGCAGGGCCCCCAGCAGCGCCCCCCGCAGCAGAGCATCCTTCAGGGCCTCCTTGAGGCTTCCGATGACGAGGGCCCCCTTCCGGGCCAGGAGGTGAGGGGCCCCCAGCAGCGGGGCCACCAGCAGGGCCCCCAGCAGCAGGGTACCCTTCAGGACCCTGAGCAAGGGGCCCCCCTTCAGGGCACGGGGGAGTGGGGCCTCCAAGAGCGGGGCCCCCAGCAGGGCCCCAAGAAGGGCCCCCAACCGCGGCCCCCCCCGCAGGGCCACCAGCACCATCGCGTCCTTCAGGGCCTCCTTCAGGCCCCCCCGCAGCAGGGCCCCCTTATGGGCCCCCAGCAGCAGGGCCCCCTTCAGGGCCCCCAGCAGCAGGGCCGCCAGCAGCAGGGCCCACCTCAGGGCCCCCAGCAGCAGGGGCCCCTTATGGGCCCCCCGCAGCAAGGCCCCCTTCAGGGCCCCCCCCAGGGCTCGGAGCAGCGGGGCCCCCAAGGGCGAGGCCCTCAGCAGGGCCCAAAAAGGGCCCCCCCACTGTGGGGCCCCCAGCAGGGCCCCCAGAGGGGTTCTCAACCGCGGGCCCCCCAGCAGGGCCCCCAGCAGCAGGGTTCGCAACAGCGGGGCCCCCAGCAGGGCCCTCAGCAGCGGGGCCCCCAACAGGCCCCCCAGCAGAGCTTCGACGGGCGGGGCCCCCAGCAGGACCCCCAGCCGGGCCCCCCGCAGC